CAAAGAAAAGGTTCTCAGCGTAACCAGATAGAAATGAACGTGGAAAATGAAAATGAACCTGGTTTTGTCCCCTACAAAATGGAATCCGAGGATAAATTAAAGTTACACTACTTCCGGTTATAAATGATGAACTGTTTACTTTCGGACAAGCATAACTATTTTCAGTCGCATTTTCCTGAGAGGAAATAACGCATTCATCGTTGCTTCGAATCCACGACTGAACAGTGAACTAGTTCTGCCATTCAAAGATTCGGAGGTTCCACCACAGCGGCATTCTGGACCGTACAATGCATTGTGTTGCCCAAAACTGGCTTGATCAGTTTAAATGGTACTTTTCAGCATGAAACAATATTTCTTCCTCTTGTACCGGCTAGAAATTGGGGAAATTAGGACACTGGTAGAATCGAAAGATGTGCAAGTGGGGATATCTACGAAAACAGAACCAATACAAAAGAACCAAGACAAAATGTTCGCACGCCTGTTTCGTCGATGTATATCCCCTGTTTTCCCGAAAAAAACACTCCAATTCTCTATATGTAATATAAGACCAAGCCTTCTTTTTTCACTGAGGCCATGTAGGTGATTCAGAACTGAACGAAACTGTATTAGAAAAAGTTACTGACGCAGCCGAGCATTCGTACAGTGTGCCAAAATAACTAGTCCAAAGAATCCCAAGCGTTTTGTTTCCCACACGTATGTTCCGAAATGTATCAGAACATTAGTTTATCTCATTCTCGTGTACACGTCTGCTAACAAGTTGGTGTTCGGTGGTTCTGCAAAATAACAAAACAAATTAAGCAATATGACAACAAAATATCTTGTTGGTGAATGCGATCGGATTGGGTGCACAGTCAGGAGGTGAATAGACGGGCTTGGACGGTTACTGGCAGATTTAATTTGGGGATATAAGGAAGGAATGTTTTTTCGTGAATTCCTTGTCCCATACTGGGACATGTTTGATCTGCTGAAAAAACATCACGGGATGTGTAGTAATTGTGAATTTTGCAATTATTCAATGCGATGCGTAGTCCGGATTCAAATCCGTAACAAAAGTTCTAAATATATCGCCGTGCCGAAGAATTATGTTCGCTGGAATCTAACTGTTGAATACATCTAGTGTATAAGAAATGGTCAATTCTCGTATATTTCCTTGCCAATTTTGACTATGGCAAATGTTAAGTGCTGGTGCCAAGAGCCAACGAATGGAACTTGAACAATGCGAGTTAGTTCCTTTCGGAATCTTCAGGTCGAAATGATGTGAATCAATTTGTTTGTGGTCGCTGATAGTGCATTCTTTAATCAGTTCAAGCTACATATGCCAACGGAGTAGTTTGAAATGTTTTTCAGCGAACTGTAAAAATGAAGCCAAGGATTCAAACGGGACTGATCTGTAGTGTGCTCTACGCACCAGAATGAAAACGGTCTGAATGGAACTTGGTCACTCACTGGCCCTGAAATGAACTCAGGACCTCGGTTCCGAGGTACCCCGTTACTATGAATCAACTGGTTGTTTGCACGCTAAACGATATTGCTACCTTCCAGATTTACCAGCGAAAATATTTGACCATGACACTACTTTTTTTCCTAGGGCCGACAACTACACTGATTCTCACCAACTCATGGAAGACATCTCATTTGCCCACTACTTTACCTTTTTCCGCACAGATAAAGTGATAATTTTGTCATCACATCTACGTGAATGGACATTGTGATTATGTATTAGCAAATGTTTAGCAAGAAATAAATCGTCCATTTATTCACCAGCACTTGAGCTGTTGAATTATGAAACCGAGCCAAGAGAGAATTCCTTGGTGATCATTTGGTTGTATACATCTAATCCTGTGTGCTTTTACCTAATGCTTTCCTAGCGTAAGCAGTCTTCGCCCGGGGGTCTGATAGCTGAGTTGAGCACAAAGTTGACAGCATCATTTATTTTTTTTACATGATATGGTCAAACTGAACATTTCAGCAGGCAACACTCCATGTTTGATCCGTAGAATAGCCTATATAGGTAGTGACTAATTAAATTGGAAGACGACGATCTGAAAAAGAAAGGCACATAGTTTTGCAGGGGAGTCGGGGGTAGATAATTAAGGACATTTCTCGTAGGCCAAAAAATCCTGCTGGTAGTAGACCTAGATGAAGGAGTGAGAATTATCAGTGAGCAGATTTGGAGTAGGTATATTGAAGCATACTGAAGGGTGGGGCTGGAAACACTACTTCTCTAGAAAAAGGTTCAGGCCTCATCTGATCAAACAAGACTCACTCTTAAGTGAGTCATGCAAAACTGCGGACGACAGGTACAATCTTGCAGGTGAACGTAAGACTACACAAGTTCGTATAGATAAATGTGAAGACAAGTGGACGGGTTGTGGAACTTTAAAGTTGTTTCGAGTTTGAAAATTCAAGGCAAAATTGATCGAAAACTTACTTTCAGGTAGCTGTAGCAGTTGGACACAATGGTTCAGTGCGTACAGTTGACGAGGCTCTCTTCAAGGTCTTTCATATTATGAGCAACAACATGGGAGTGCGGTTGCAGCAGCTAGGTCATAGGATTATTTAGTGGTAGTGGTGGAGTAGTTACAACAAAGTAGGACTGGCATAAATAAGGTAACAAACACCTGTCCTTAGCTTATTCAAAACGTTGATCTGGCTGAAACGTTCGGACATCATCCAACTGACGAGTAAACAGATATAGGGGGAATTGTACCTTAAATAATACCACTGTTAGTGATACCAGACCTTCCTAACTGCATGTACTGGAATGGAGGGAAGAATTGCTCTGCGCGTCACGCAACCGTAGAAGAATACCCATCGAAAAAGAGACTGACATAGGAGTGAAAAATGCGAAAAGAAATGTCCGAGATACATTTGAGTGCAATTATACGTGTCCTGGGGCGGATTACTGATATGAGTTAGGGGAGCCAGAACATAGCTTTTATAGGATCAAGGTGCTGACGACCAGCCTGAGGACGTAATTCGTTGCAATAACCTTTTAATCCTTTACAATAAGGCCGATGAAACAACGTTGGTTTCCGGTCGTCATTAAAGCGGGCTTAATACAAAGAATTCCCTTACATCCGGTATAGAGGGAATATGGACATATCCCGTCGGCGCTAGAATATGTCCGCAATCGAACTAAATGTTCCAAAACATCAAGGTGTTTCAACGTAAAGCGGAAATTAAACTCGAAATGCTTGAGTGTCCAAGGAAACCAGAAAGAAGAACACCGATTTTAAGAGCTACAAACTTCTGTATCCAACTCGGTGCCACAGGCAATTTTAATAAAACTCCCAGTAACATTAATTGGGTCCACGTATATAAGTTTGAATATTTAATTTATTGTTGGCGAATTCATTCAAGATTGCATGCCTTACATGTTTGTAAGAATGCTCCCACTGGCTTTGATGTTGTCTCAGAGAACCAAGCTGACCAGTTTGTCGGGAAAATTTTCCAGGTGAAAGCTTGTTCAATAAGTATTGCGCCACAATTTGAGGGCCGAAAATGAAAGGCTAAATGAATCTTGTGAGAAGATGCAAGTGAATGGAATCAACAGGGCAACTCCACCTGATACAGCCTTTTTACCAAAAAAAGTACTCTTAGAAATCATGAGAGAATGGTGGTGCAAGTTGGAACATACTACTAGCAAAACAAACCAGTGGATTGCTCAGAGAAGCAGCTATAGAAATATGGGCAATTGGTGAGAGCATGATGAATCTGTATTCCATTTCCGGTTAGTCGCTAAATGATTTTATGGAGACTCGGCACAAGAATGGCATTGAGACTAAAAAATTTAGGTCGTGTTATGGAAAAAGGACTATCAGTGTCACAGAACGCAAGCTGAACAGGAAATTTGTCTGCAAATCCACCCAATGCGTGTTAAGATATTGGTGGGAAATTGGGCATACAGACAACCATGAATGATCAATATCACCACAAACACTCATGACAACTTGAGCGGATGGAATTCAGTTTGAATAAACAGAAGTTTTGGGATTTCCTAATCCTTTCTTGTTCCCCGGCACATCATCAAACTTTTACATCTGTAAGTTATCGTTATTCAGCTGGTACTACAGTGAGATTCTTGAATTTCTCTGACGTTAGCAATGACAAGTGTCTTGTAGAAAAAGCCGTAGTAAATCGATCTGATATTGATAGGGGCCATGAGGAGGAGAAACATTTTGAATATAAATGTAGTGAATGTTCCTCAACACTTCTCCGGTCGTTCTTCGGGCTTGTAAGGAAATATCAAGTTGAATTAAACCCATGTGAAAAAACGTAGTCCCAAAATGGTCGTTGGTTTGTTCGCTGAGCTGGGCAACTTGGTTGCAAACATTTCGTCACCAATCGAGGTGACATCATCAGTGCGTAGCCGTGCCTAGCGGTGGGTTAGTGGTTGTGCGTTGATATACGTGCTGGCAGCCGGGAATGACCTTTGACCGCAATTAGTTATTCGGTCGGGTGGTTCCATTGGTTGTTCTTTTATCCCGTGTCCTCATCAGCCGATGGCCACGTGACGTTTGAGCTTGGCATCCCTGCCGCCGTAATCTGGTCGATGCTGGAGTGACCTTTGTCCTTTCGAGTACCGGCTTGTGACCTTTGTTGATTTGCCTCCAAGGAGTTCCTTGTTCCCCTGTTTGTGAATCCAACATTCGTTCCTCCTTGAGCGTTCGGTTGAGATGTTGGCCTTTTGGACGTAGGGGTGCGTAAACAGGATCTATATCGATGCACCGGTTGATCGAATCTGCCTTGGAGTACCATGCTTCCAGAGATTCACTCCCGTGTCTCGTGTCTCCGTATGCCAAAATTTTTGCATTTTCCAGATTGAGTTTATGGCCTTGTTGATCGTCATGTATGAATATCAAGGACAGGGGGTCATGCCTCGTGACAGTCGCACTGTGTTCCTTTATTCGTGCCATAGTCTCCTCCCAGTTTGTGTTCCCCGTTTGTCACTCCAACATCGACCAGATTACGACGGCAAGCGATGCCAAGCTCAAACGTCACGTGGCCATCGGCGAATGAGGACACGGGACAGTGGGGCAACCAATGGAACCGCCCGACCGAACAACTAATCGCGAACAAAAGTCATCCCCGGCTAACAGTACGTATAGTAACACACGCGTAACACTATTCAATGCACAACCATTAACCCACCGCTACGCACTACTTCGCTCCCCTATAACGCACTGATGATATCACCTCGATTGGTGATGAAACGTTTGGATCAAAATGGCCCAGCTCAGCGAACAAGCCAACAACCATCTACACTGAGCTGCCGACATTTTCCTCTATAGAAAAAATTTTCAAGTATTTAGCCGCTTGCTCTAATTCCATCATACTGGACTTAGAAAACTCTAGTGTCAATACCAGGTACCGGAATTATTCTACCAGGTACATCAATAAATAAACAAGGACAGGAATCTTGGCTGGTCGTAATATCTCTCTAAAAATATTCAACGTAAGAAACAGATATAATTCTGTGACGGGATATCCTGTCTCCCAAAGGTTTGTTTTGTCCTGATTCTGACTCATTTGAATCTTAAAGTGTCTTTTATTGGCCTACAAATTATCCTGCGGGACAAGCATATTCACGCATCTTATGAAGGAGGCGGTGACGGTGAAAATTTGGTTGAAATCTAAGCTGATTGTTGGTAGACGTATCTCAGACCTGTGATGGAAGTCACATGGATCATACAAGACAGAGATTAAAATGTGCGAGTGACGTTTGTGAAAGAATACCATCTATAGGGTTATATTGGAGCACAAAACCAACTATTCTCCGCTGATGAGGTTTATCTCCTTATCGTCCTACGCCATTCACTTTTATCAACGAATCTGCAACAAAAATCTGCTGCAGCACAATGCTGAGTTCAAACGCAGGCATTGCGAAGAAGGCCAAACACAATCCAGAGCATATCCTTCCAAACAGAAGTACCTCCAAGTGAACTGTTTTCTTTGCCTACGTTTGTTGGGATATATCGAGTTGGTGAGGTATCCCTGGAAAAACAAACAGCCGTATTCGATGAAGACAAAATAGGCACTCCCATACATTTCTAGATAGATATTTCTAGATTACATTCGCCGCGTAGACAAATTGCTGAGATTACCGTGATTAATTATAAGTTAGTTTTTTGGCAATTCCCGCACAAACCTGGCTTTGTGAGAAGGTTACATTGATGTCTTTGATGTTATGTACGGTATTCGCCTTTAATTAGCTTTGATTGTTGTGTTTTTACAATTCCACCAAGCTGCCAGGCAAAGAAACGCGACAACGAGGAATAAAATCACAATCTCAACCTTAGAATTAATCAGGGGTAAAGTTGCATTTTGACATAAATTTACATTCGCAAATTGTCTCCAGCTGGATCAGACAGCTGGAAGACTTGGTGAATTCAGTACTACATTAACCACCAACAAGAAATGACAAAAAAGTATGAATGGAAAATGGGTTGACAGTCACTAAAGTACATTGTGAAAACTGCCTTACGCTCCTTTATCAAATCTCTAGAATTCTGCCATCTTCAGAAATACTCCCCACCGAGGTCGCAACAAACACTACCCTTAATCTATCATAGCCTGAAATAGGCTTGGCCGGAATACATGTGAGAGATCCAGTCTTTTACACTTGGCTGAATTTTCAATTGTCGACGAAAGAAAAACATTTGTCAAGACTACACAATACCTTCCAAAAATAGCCAGTTTCCGGAAACCGGTTTAATGGCATAAATAATTCATGAATCTTTGGTTAACAAAGTTATCCAAATGATATCACAGGAAGATCAAATGAATTGATCGATCGTTGGACCACAGAGTCATTTAATTGTTTGACGTACTGGCGCACACAGTATTGTACAACTCAGTCCTTGAAAATAGTTCGATTATGCCTAGTCATGAATGAGCGTGTTAGTGCAAACCCTACTTAATTCTTTGGCAGTTTTACACAGGCTACTCGGAAACTAGTGATCTACACCTGAGAATGTCTAAAAAAATTTCACCTATGACAATTCAACCGTAAGAATCCGCCATTAGGCGAGAACGAATGCTATTGTCGCGAACATCTCAACTTTTTAATCCAATCCAAACTGTTCCTGAAAAATATGCATGCCTGTCTTGTTTGAGCTTTCATATTGGACGCAACAGCTTAATCGTTCTTCCTCCACAAGCACAGTTTCAAATGCAACTAGGCACGCTAGCTCCGCCTTGGTAACGATTTACTTACATCCCCTAATCCCCCGCTTCGAGTACCAAACTTGTTTTGTTGACTGGCCTGTAATTGCAACATGTCAGAAGGAGTTCGGACATTAATCTCTTTGTAAGCGCCAACGGCTCTGTGAATTAGAATCCCGTAGAAGAAAACGCTAATACAGATAAGCTGGCTAATTTGTCTACTGCGTAGTGGTGCAGACCAGTTTCTCGGTGAATGTTGCGCTGTCCACTTTAAACTCCATCCACTGCCAAGAGGAAAATTTCCAATTTTTCATATGCACGTTTGAGGAGACTTAAAGGCTGAAATCTTGGTTGAACTAAGGAAGTTCAGTACCAAATTTTGAATTTTTCCATTGATATCGCGCAAACTTTTTGCAGGAAAGCTTTGGAACTAATTCAACTAAGAGGATATTTTACATGCCTAATGGTTGAAGGGAGTGAAATATTAAAACCAAATCCGCCATCTTCCTTAGAGAGTACACATACCGTACAATAAAACAAAAATGTTCTCAGAAACTTGTAGCGAAATTTATCAAAACCTACATAGAAAAATGTATTCACTGCCACTGTCAAATCATTTGATGTCCAATGCCTCCTGAGGATTATTGCCCTAAAATGTGCTCATCTAATGAACCACCATACGTCGTAAACATTTTTATTCGTTTAAATATCATCATTCGGAAGCGTCACACATTTACTGGAGTGCTGATGCTAAGGTGCATGTTGCAACTCGGGGAACTCGAGTTCCACTCACGGTTTATCTTAGAATATTAAGCTAACTTGAAAATGCAGATCGAGTCCCACGCTTTGACGTAGGTTGGCCAGAATAACACACTCATGATCTGAACGGGACTGCAGACAACTAAAACAAATAAGGCATGCAACTAATCTGCGGTTGGTCAGTGTTTGACATTCAAGGTAATGAGACCATTTTGCATTTGGCCTGCACTTGATATATTTATCCATGGCTAGTCCGCCCTGTCGATTAAGTCTTAAGATTAGCGTTAGCATACGTAAATATACCTAATTCACCTACATGAACACATTTTATCAGTTAGCACCAAGATTTCAGTAATCAGACGATCATTGGTTTGACCACTCCGTAGGGGATATTCATGCATGAACAGCAGGAACAAAACAAGCCTAATCGTTAAAAATGTTTTCTGATGTTGTATGTTCATTTCTGTTGGAGTAAATCCGTCCGCACATAGTTAAATAAAAGTAGAATTGTATGACTTAAAACCGGTACTGCATAGTTGGGTATGCTCCAGACACTTTTTTCAGCGAGTAGCCCTTAAAACAAATAGCGTGCATATAGCAGCCAGAAATGCGTATCGGCATTTGAATATAAGACATCACTGGATGCATTCCCAGTTCCTAAGGTTTCGACCCAACTCAGTGAGTCCTATAGATGTGGGGTGCGCCCCACTTCAGAAGGATACCTACACTTTTTAATTCGTTTCAAAGCGTTGGCTCTTATTTCTCTGAGTGTTGCAATCCCTCAGAAGCCTGTCTGTTATTGGAGTATCTGAGCCAAAAGTGACATTTGATGTTCTGTATCGTTTTGAGCTTTGTATTAAAAGCCAGTCAGGTATATGGTTGTCGTTATCTGACACTTACTGCAATCTGCACTCCCAACTGCCCCCCATCCATGAAATCCTTTTTCACATTGTACAATCGCATTCTGTATGTCAAAATAGTGGTATTTTCAGTGTGTCCCCAAATTGCTGACCAGGTGTGCAACACTGCAATGGTCGAGCCTGGAAATTGGTCGGTGAAGGTTCTGTCACCAGTCGACGAAGCGTGATCATGATGGATGGTTATGATCTTTATAGATCAGTGACAGTGTTTGTGAAGGAACTTCTCAGACTCTACCAAGGAGGATAACTGCTTTGTATATGAAGATTCCACATGGATAAGATGAAACCAACTTTGAATTCAAAATATCCAGGTAATTTATCGCGCCAGCTTGGAAAATTCTCCCTTATGACAGCCTTATATAATATTTAACTGAGAAGCTTTTTAGCTCTAATTACGCTTCTTTTAAGCTTTCTCAGATGCAAAGACCAAGAAACTATTGTGCGAACTGGGTGAGGGAAATATATTTTTTCTAAAATATGTAAGTTTGTTCCTGGGCCCGAAGTTATACTGGAAACAGTGACAGAGATCAGCGTTTTACAAATGAGTTGTCTGTAGATTAAGTGATTTCAAGTTACTGCCACATATGTATTTTAGAATGTGTCGCCTTGAACATGTCAAAGATGGAGCGCCGATGGATACACTGAAATTGAGAGCTAGTTAACGCAGTAAATATTTCCTAGGCCCACGACAACTTCGTTGTGTCGTCAATTTGAAAATTTTGTATATATCTTTTGTTTCTTTTCGTCATAAATACTGATTTTTAGACATGAGACCTACGGCCCAAACGTCCTACTCTAGTCTGAAAGAGATAAATGCATTCACTTTCCTTGTGTATAACTATGTGAATAGACCCGCGCTGGTGGCATCTTCTTGGTTGACGATGGAATGCCCACCAAATAACTGTCGAACAATAGTTGTTGCTCCCAGTTCTGTCCTAGTCTTTGCCAGCTATTAATTGCTCCATGAGAACCACTAAATCAAAGGGGTTAATTCACTTTTCTTGAAAGTTATGTGTTGCTCTGCAATTTTCTCGCCAGTTTACTCAAAATCAAGCTTGATGTGATGAACATGACTGATATTCTGTTCGTTGCTCTATTTATTATTCTCTTGTTTTAATATTCTATATACTGTATATAGTCGCCAATTCGAATACATACGTGCTGGTTGTTACGCTTCGCTGAATTCTGGATTTCTAGTTCGTCTGGTTATACCGATATACGTACGAAACTTAAGTATCACATTTTGGCGTCGCGATTGGAACAATTCATCATGCCAGCCGAAATGGAACCGTTAGATGTTAATTCAACTGCGCGTGACGTAGAGGATTATTTGGAACGGTTTGACATATGGGGCCTCACAAAATCTAATATGGGTGATAAGAAACTCACTGCATATTTCCTACATTTCGTTGGCAAGGTGGCGTATACTTTGATCAAAAATTTAGTAAATCCTGAATCTCCAATCGATATTTCTTACACTACATTGAAGAAAAAATTCTTCAACACTTCAAACCGAACAACTTCGTAGCAGCCGAAAGAGCTAAGTTCAAGATGTTGACCATTAACCTGTAACAAAACTTTACCGCGCAAAAGGAAGCGGAAGCTGTTTTCTGTAACCCATGGTTCCAGATGACGACAAAAACAAAAAACTCAGCTAACTTCATGCTGTCATTCACGTTTATTTTAAAATGGCAGACAAATCTGTTGGGTCAATTTTGATGAGAATATAGCACTTAATACAAAGGTTTTGGTCACGATAGAACCTCCAAAACTCCCACCAATTTATTCAAGCATTTAGTCTGGTAGTGAGTGACCATGAACGAATATAATTTCTTCCTTCATATAAGTACAGCCATAATGTACTACAGTACAACAACAAATCCGCTAAGTAAGTCCTAAAGACTTTCCGGAGCAAATCGCGATCTATCAAATGGATCACGCAAAAAGTTCGTTGTAACAAATAGTCATAAGACAGCTCTTTGGGGTTATAGATTGTTTTATTGGCACATCGTCCATAATCTAATAATTGCAAAGTAAAGGAAAACATTGTCAGTACTCTCGACAGGCAAAACACCTCACTTCCTCCATGGATAACGTAGTCTGTCCACTAACCACTCTTGTCAAAGATTACTAGATTTCATTTGTTTGTTGAAATTGTAAAACGCATGCCAACAAGGTTTGCAAAATACCACAATCATTGAATATATTGTTTCAATAACAAAAGCAACAAAGCAAGTATCTTAGAATATCCCTTTCCTGCCGAGTGAATTTTGCCAGGGGTTTTCAAATTCCCGGAGTGCTATTACTCAATGAATAGTATAACCCTATTTAAAGCAAAAGTTAAGCTGCACCATCAACTCACCAATTTTGTGGAATGAGTTTGAATTGGCCAATAAATTCCATTGTATGTTTACTATGTGAAGTGGCCACTTTTCGGGATTAGGTTTCAAAAATGAATCTACCTTTTTATTTCCCAAAGTTTCAAAGACTTTATGTATTAGATGGGCAAATGCCAGGAACAATGTGTAAACGCTGCGTAAAGTCCCGTCTCTCATATTATTCTAGCTTATTATGTCACAATTATATGCGAAAAAGTAATTGAGTAAAGTTCTAATTTAGTTGAAGCTGAACGTAATTAGGTCAGAAATATCGGGTGGCCAACTGGATAAGTTGGTTGAGCAGAGCTTGGTTACAGAATGACGTTGGATAATATTTGCGATAAAAGGACTATTTACTTTTACCAGTCAACTAAACATTACAAACTGTCCGAGAAGTATAAGAAAACTATTTTATAACATTTATTTCTGCGTATATCTACAAGCTCTTACTAAATGCCATTGAACACACTTGTGAGGAATATACTTAGATGAATTCCTAAATATTACATTTAAAAGACCCTGAGTTATAGTTCGGAAAATACCGTGTAATGGGATATGAAAAACTTGTAAAATGTCTAAAGCTGCGCGAAAATCTGACTCCCTGGGATGAGTCACCGAAGTGTTTCAGAAGAAGGGTTTTAAAATGATAATGAGCAACTCAGTGTTACCAAGGATTTAATCGTAAACGTCTCGGCCTATTCGCGTACACCCACATACCTTTAGTGACGATTGTCGCTTTAAATCGAGGACGGAACTATGCGTCCCGATTGGACTAAACGGTATGTTGCGCAAATACAACCATTTTCTTCCATGTACTTGATCCAAGCTCTCAGGTTTATTGTATGTATACAGTGATATCCAACACCACCCTCGTGGAACACTTTCTTTGGTGTTCAAGAAAATCTCCTTGTCAAATTACGCATACGTGAACTGTCAAACAACGGACTTAAAATACGTTCATTGAGACCATCACTGATGTAAACTTATGTTTACCTGTCTTGGTCTAGTTCAGTCAAATCAAAATAGCGTTATTTGTTTGAGCTTACGATGCTGGTGAACCATAAGGCGATGACTTACTAGACAAATCTCTAATATATGTATATATATATATATATATATATACAACTAGCGATTATACCGGTTCCTGCTGATCATCTGTCCTACTCTTCGGACTGGAAAATTCAGATTCACAGTATAGGTAATTCAAGAAAACTGTCCGTTGCAATTATGGTGGTTTCTATCTTGTTCACATGGACATTTTACTTTTAAAGATATTGATAAGACAACTGTACTGATTTCTGTATCTGCAATGCACGGGATATGGACTGTGGACTGCGGAATAAAAGAACAATCCCCAGAGTCACAACTAAAGCATTCTTAGTCATAATTAGTGCTCACTAATTAGTTGTCTGAGTCATTTATGCGAAATAACAGATTATTTGAGTCAGTTGTTATTCTTGACGAGCAGACAAGTAACCTGTGCATTATGTGTGACCGAAGGAAACAAAATATGCACCTTGGCGTACAATACTCCAGCTGATATTTACAACTAGGCGTAAAAATGTGACAGAATTTACTATAAAGATTGTGCAGCAACGCGGCTGCCGAGATCCGGTTGTAGTTGAGTGGCAGGTGATTTGAGTACGAAATTGTGCCTGTGGTTCAGGCTTGTCCAAAATACTCAGAGTTCGTCACCCACACACGGCGAACTGGTACCAACATAAAACTCAGCAGAAGTTCATACCTCACAAAATTACATATGCAAAACATTTATCTTGCGTTGTAGTAGAAATCGCAACGTGAACGGTTGAGAAGGCTTTTTGTGCATATTGTATGATACAATTAAACAGGAACTCACTTACAGCAACTGGTTTCACAGTAAAAAACACGGCGTTATTTAGGCTCAGGTTTCTATTGTGAATAAACCTCGCGCAGTTTGGTGGGGTGGAGGAACCCGTCGGTTTACCAGAAAATTTCGGCGATCAACACTCTCTTTTGCCTTAAGAAGATACAGCAGATAGGTATACTGGTGGTCGTTGGCTTGTTTGCCGAGCTGGGCAATTTGATTGCAAACGTTTCATCACCAATCGAGGTGACATCATCAGTGCCTTATTGTGGAGCGTAGTAGTGCGTAGCGGTGGGTTGGTGGTTGTGCGCAACCACAATAACGCACTGATGATGTCACCTCGATTGGTGATGAAGCGTTTGCAATCAAATTGCCCAGCTCAGCAAACAAGCCAACGACCACCATCTACGATACCTGAGATAGGTATACTGTTCCTAGGGGCGTATCTACTTAATCGCATACTGTTCAGCATAGGTAGATAAAGGCCGCAGAAAAACACGCGGAGTATTGTGAGAACTTTCGCAGGCCACTGAATCAGACTCTTTAACGTTGTGAATGGACTGTAGATTGGAAGTGTGGGCAAACGTTTGGATGTCAGGCTATGACCCGAACATTCGTTTGAAAAGCAAACAGAACGACAGCACTTTAGCGGCGAATAATAAAGGACCTGCGGTACCCCAGAAATTGACGAGGCTTGAATGACCTGAGTAGCGTTTCTCAACTTTCTGCAGGCAACATGATATTTTGTGAGTTATATGCATAATGATGATGCATACGGCGGGAACCGGCACTAAAGGTCATTGGTGGAAACTTGGAATGACCTTACTAAACAAGGATGAAGGTCATGAATGAAATGATCAAGCAGAATATTACAATACGTACCGGATCAACTACATCCATGCTTATTGAACCTGGTTAGAAACGTCCTACTGCATCCATCTGTTTAGGCACGCATAGTCAATAATATTATTTTAAATTTGCAACGTCAGTGCAATTTTTGTTTAGGCTTTGTTCTTCCTTGACCCTGCCTATTCTGTTTCTGAACAATATCTTCTCTCGTTTCTGTTCACATGTACGTTTCTGTGAATTATCACAAGCTCTAAGTTCCTAAGTCGTATTCTCATTGGAAAGCTAAAGTTCTTCGGACCAGTGGTAACTGCGCGCATGTCAGAGGAACTCAGAAAGCAGTCTTATGATTGTTTCTGTGCGAGACTCATCGGGCACTTCTTCTCCTTGGCACACATGAACTTGATGCCGTCCATTTGCTTCCTCTTTGGTTTTTTCCCCTCAAACGTGTGCCCAGTCACCCACCGCCTCACTTTTTGGTTTGCGTTTGAATAGAATTGATCAGTTCCATTACGGTTAGTTGATTATCATTCTAAACTTAATGAATTATTTGCCCTTCGTAACCAGTTCTCCTTCGACAGGCTTGCTCTGCTCCATATGACCCAGATCCTCCGTACTATCGCTTAAAGCAAGCAGCAGGTTATTTTGCTTCCAAAACATTATTTACCTATTGCAACTTATTCAAATCAAAGCTTACTTCCGACTCCATCTATGAAAAACGCTACGCAAACCCTTTCTGGATCTCAGGGTTCAACTTCTTCACCGTCACCAATACAGGAAAATATACTACAAAGTTCACCTTTCCCGTGCCATTGTCATCAAAATCGGCCATCATGCCAACCCTTCTGTGCGCCTTTGGTTTATCAAATTACCGCTAGCTACAAGTTCTCAACTATTGCATTAGTGTGCCAAATGCAGCTCAAGATCTGTCTTATCCACACTTCTTCATTTGCTTCTTAGAATCCTATTTTTATGGACGTTTCTTTCACTCAGTAAGTGATATCTATCACTATTAACGAGGTTTATGCATTTCTTGACTTCTTGCACAAATTGTCGAAGTGGGTGATGAGAACTTTCACTGATTTTGTTCTGTTTTGTTATTCCGTTTAGATGTGAAGCCAAATCAAGTCGTCCGACTTCAGCGTTTAGACCTGATGTGTTTGTACTTTTATCCCGTAGAAGTTCTGCGAAAGTTTACTTAAATGAAAATAAGACCAGTCCTGACATCTCAGGAGTAAATCATTGTGGTATTTTTAGGAGTTTAACAAACAAAACGTACATGATATTAAAGACACTTTTGGACTGTTAACTTGTATTTATACAAGAAAAATTTGCCTCACCCTAATGAGCTGCGAACGGTTTTTGTATTCTCTTCAGGCGGATTTTTTTAATGACCTAACAAAAGAGTTCATAGTTGAAGAACACCACCATATGTATTTGACACTCTTGTATCACATGTATGTTGTAAAAACCATTTGGAGCAGATTTATTTGATACCATTTTTTCGGTCTGTCGATGCATCCACGAACCGTTTTTAGTGACGTTGGTCGAGGTACACGATGTGATAGCATATATGTGGGTTGTTTTATTGTTTTTGAAGTTGAGTCGTAAATCACTGGCCAAGATGTTATTAGATTCTCCGGTCGTATTTTATTATTTCAACAAAAGCGCTACAGTGGAGAATGACATTTACGGAAATGAAGGTCATTATGTAACACAATAAACGACATTGGGCAATGTAACATTAGGATCGCTGAATTGATGACTATCGCAGACCTAACCAGATTTATTTCTGTGCACATGTTTTCAAGATCCGGATGTATAAGAAAGGTATTTTTCCTATTAGGATTTCGACTGCAATAATAATGGCTCAAGGAACGCTAATGATAAATGAACTCGGGCGTTCGCAGTGTAGAATTCACATAAATGATGGCGGATATCCATCATTCAATAGTAGTGTGTACAACTGGTTAGATACAGACAGGCGCTTCCTGTCTCCCGTGTTCTTCCGCGTAATACCCATTTGGGAATCGCACGGAAAAAACATGGGGGAAAACGTGATAAATTTATTTGGGTTTGAAACAGCCGACAAGTTAAAGTAAGGGCATACTAAACTACCTATTAAAGGACCATGCTCAAGTTGCTTCTGTTTGGTTTAACTTAATGCAGCCAAGTTAGTGTGCCACAAAACACCGGCAAAAAGCCAGTACGTCATTTAGGTCCCCAGCCCAGTATGAGTAACTTGATATATTCGGCGGCAAACAAACAATATATGCGGTGGCTCGCGACAAAATCTGATCTAGGAACTGTTGCTTGTTTCGCAACTGCTATCCGTGTTCACGTTATACTGTCGTTATTGATCAACTCCTTCGTTCTCACAAAAAAGTTATCTGAGTTCATAGTAAAAGCCATTGCTTGACATTAGTTGGCCTACTGTAGGCGAATTCCACTCCTTGCTAATAGTCAGTCATTGATTGTCAGAGCTAACCGATGAAGCATCTTTACGTTAGATTATGCTTTATCTACCAAAGTGATCAGAAATTATTTGCTTAAGCATCACAGCTCGTCTTTTGATAAAAAAATTACCAGTACGGTTTGATATTTTTCAGCCGCCATTACTACGCGCTCAATTAATCAGTGATGTTCGCTAATGAAACCCATAGGAAATTGCCAATGGAAAATACGAATGGTCTGATGTTAGATTTCCTCAATTTGAGCCGTTAGAGTTGTGCTCCAGTAAAACACTAATACGAAAACAAATTGAATCAGAAACCAGGACACATGATATTGATAAGTGATGCACATTTGATCGAATATTCCTTGGCAAAAAAATTCGCACCATCTGATTGACAATGTGACTACCTAGTTCAACAAAAGCATACCTGAAATTACAGAACATTTGAGCCGTTAGAGTTGTGCTCCAGTAAAACACTAATACGAAAACAAATTGAATCAGAAACCAGGACACATGATATTGATAAGTGATGCACATTTGATCGAATATTCCTTGGCAAAAAAATTCGCACCATCTGATTGACAATGTGACTACCTAGTTCAACAAAAGCATACCTGAAATTAAAGAACAAATTGCTCAATAAATTAAACGAATTTTGAGTCAGCTCTCTTTTCAATGCTTTTCAGAGACATTTCGGTAGAGGTAGCACTTCACATTTGGTCGCTTTTTACTTTTCAGTAGGGTTTTGGTTCGCTGTAATGGATACCGTTTCTAACACATATTAGTTCTACAATCTCTCTGCTTGATCGCCACTGTTCAATTACTTTCGTTTTCTGTTTGTTGCCGATCGTGGCAACACCATTGCGCCCTCTAACTCGCCAGAAATCTCAGACTGATTGGGATAAGAATGATGCATCATACTGTTACTTGTATGCTTTTCCTTTACCTATGTGGCTTAGAAACTTGTTTGCAATGTAGCCAATACACAAAACCAGAGTCGCTATCCTCTCAGAACATTAAATGAGTGGCACAGGATCGAGCTGGTTGTACTGTTGTTCTTGTTGTTCGTAGACTAGTTTAAAAGGCGTTAAATATGAGTGAATGTAGCTTTAAACACTGATAACTTGGGAGCACACTGCGTCCAACAGCCCACTTCCGTAAGGATAAGCGCTTACGGCCTGTCGCGGTCACATTAAGCTTATCATCGTCATTGTAATGAGAAACTGAACAAGAGGAATTATAAAATACACGTACCATGAGGTGACTGTGTGTAATAGAACGAATGAAGTCGTTTTCTATGTAAACTGGATTGCAGGTAGCGGCCTTGATTGTTTTGAATAATTCAAGGGAAGAGCATTGAGCTGTCACTTAGTAACTGGTCTCTGAGTCTAACCAACATTTACACTTATTTCTGGATACTAGAAGGCATAAGACTCGCTCACCTTTCTGAGGGTTAGGGGTCAATAATTCTTATATCTTCATACTTTCTGTCACACTTTGTCACACTTGGGACCACGTCACAATTTTTATATATTTCTACGCCTTGTGACTTCGTATCACGCGCTATAACAACCGTATCGATTTCCATCTTTCTGTATAAGAAACATTTATTAAATAGCTTGTACCTCAATATTAATATGGGACATTTACTCTGGGAGGCAGCAAACGAGGCATAGGCAACCCACAGATAGTGAGAAAGTCAGTTTTAAAGTCTGATGATAACACGCTAATGAAATTTAACACACAGGAAGTAAACAAGCCCGTTGTGCAATTTTTTGTGTTCTTCCTCATGCATCTGGTATGGCAGGCTATTTGAGAAGGAATGTATTACCGTTTTCCCCATAATTCTTGTGCATATCAACGCATGGTCATTTATTCAGCGCCAGTTAAAAAACCGAATAGATAGCCTTGATTCATTTGGTCTGAAAGTGATGTCAATTTACAGATATGTC